CCCGCCGGCGCTGGGTATTCATGACCGGAGGCTCCCGCACGGCCCGGGGGACGTTGACGACCGCGCCCCCGACCTTCGCCCGTTTCTGCGTGGAGTCCTCGGGGTCCGGCTCCAGCCGGGCTCCAGTCTCTGTCCACACCCTCTTTTCTTTGGTCGGTCCTGGGGCCTGAACTCTGGGCCTGGGCGCTGTCCCTCAGCTGTTCAGCTCAAGGCTAGCGCTTGAGCCCCAGCGCCACTTCGGTGTTCTTCTGGTTCACTGGAGATCAGAGGCTCTCGGACTTTCCTGCCCGGGCTGGCTTTGAACCTCGGTCCTCAGGTCCCAGCCCCCTGCATAGTGAGGATGACAGGCATGAGCCACCGGCGCCCACCTACAGTATATTTTATGAACAGATTTTATATGTCATAACATAATGAAAACCAGGTATTGAGGTGTAAAAGTTGACTTTTGCTATTCACATGCCCGCTGTTAATGCCTGACATGTCTCAGAAACCCATCCATTTGACATACATTGTAAGTTTTAAGCTTTTCTATGGGTTTGTGAAGGTCTCCGATTGCATTTGACATGTTCTAAGGCTTTCTCAAAACACATATTTTTGTCTTTTGAAATAGCTCAGGCTCACTTCAAATTCACAATCCTTTAGTTACAGGCATGTACTGTTATACCGGAATTCGGGGACCCCCAGAAGACCACCAGAGACCACGATCAATGTAAGCAACAAAGAGCCGTTTATTGCAAGCTCGAGCTTGGTCCTTCGCACACACGGTAACTGGTGATGCTAAGAGGCCCTGAGCATAGAATCAGCACAGTTTTTATAGTATTGAACAAACAACTTTAAGGAACTTTTACATAAGAAATTACATGAGGGCTGGGAAGGTGGCTCAGTGGTAGAGCGCTTGCCTTGCATGCTGAGGCCCTGGGTTCGATTCCTCAGCACCACATAAGCAAAAAGAAAAAAGCTGGAAGTGGCGCTGTGGCTCAAGTGGTAGAGCGCTAGCCTTGAGCTGAAGGACAGCGCCCAGGCCCAGAGTTCAGGCCCCACGACCGACACACACACACACACACACACAAAGCTACAAACAAAGAAATTACATGATTGGTTAACATTTAAAGCAAGCTAAGCTTGGCAAATATGATTGGTTGACCTTTACAGAAAAATGTCGTTGGTCCATAGCTTGACCAAAAACGGTTATGAGTCACACCTGGACCAACAGAATGCATGGCATGTCTCGCCCTGGGCTCTGAAGAACCGGTTGGTCAAAAACTCTTAGTTCTAGGTAGCTGGGGGGCAACACCACTTGAGGGCTAACACCTGCCTTAAGCAAATGCCATCTATGGCTCCAAGAATTGTGCATGGCTTTCTGTCATAAATTCCTAGCATTGGGGCTAACGTGGGTCACGAGTCAAGTTGCAGAACTGAGATGGACTGTTAATAAAAATGGAGTTAATCTTTTATATAAATGTTTCTTCCCTAGGACTTTACTGCCCCGACCTCCGGGAGGGGCATTGCAGCTGTGGGGATAATTTCCAGACCTCCAGGAGGGGAGTTCTGGTGCTCTATCTTCTGAGGACTTTGCATCCTTGGTCAGGGCTGTAAACCCTTTGAAGTCTTTTTTTTTGGGGGGGGGGTCCAGTCGTGGGACCTGAACTCTGGGTCTGGGTGCTGTCCCTCAGCTCTTCAGCTCAAGGCTAGCGCTCTACCACTTGAGCCACGGTGCCACTTCCCGTTTTTTTCTTTTTGCTTATGTGGTGCTGAGGAATTGAGCCCAGGGCCTCATGCATGCAAGGCAAGGGCTCTACTACTGAGCCACCTTCCCAGCCCTTGAAGTCTTTTACTAAGCAACTCTAGGCTCCCAGGCTGACATTCCACTATTGAGTAACTAAAATCAGTCACAGTTAAAATCATACAAAAACCATAAAATCATCTAGCACAAAGCAATTCGTACAGAAGCAAAAATAAGCAGTTAGTAATCATAACTTCTAATTTCTATTACATTAAGCATTAATGTTACTCCATGCCTTTTAATAAATTCATTCAGGGGGTGCTTGCCTACTTTGATGAGGGCAGTCCAGTTTTCTGCCTCTTTCACTCCACTCCTCAAGGTTTTAGCAGAGTTTTTAGCAAGCAAAGGTACAGAAGCGAAAATGGCTGTTAGGTGCTGTCTATATATATTTTTTTACGTTCTTCAGTACCACCATTCCTGGCCTCCCATATAATTTTATTTAAGAATGTGTGTGGTGAGCTTTTGGGGGCTTAGGTGCATCAACATTTGCTAGGTAAGCACCTACTTTTTTTAAAAAAGCTTAATGTCTAATCAGACATCGGTGGCTCACACCTGTCATCCTAGCTACTCAGGAGACTGAGATCTGAGGATTTCGGTTCAAAGCCAACTGGGGCAGGATTATCTCCAGAAAAGAGGAAGTGGCACTGGAGCTAAAAAGCCAATTTGGGATAGCGCTTAGGCCGAGAGTTCAAGCCCCACAACCAACCGAAAAAAAAACAAGACAAGGGCTGGGAAGGTGGCTCAGTGGTAGAGTGCTTGTCTTGCATGCATGAGGCCCTGGGTTCGATTCCTCAACACCACATAAGCAAAAAGAAAAAATCCAGAAGTGGTGCTGTGGCTCAAGTGGTACAGCGCTAGCCTTGAGCTGAAGAGTTGAGGGACAATGCCCAGGCTCAGAGTTCAGGCCCATGACGGAACCCCCCTCCCCGAAAAAAAAAAGACAAAAATAATTTCTCAACTCAAGTAAACCAACTTTTTTTTTCCTTGCTATTCTGTGGATCTGCATCTTGTGGGGATAGGTCTTGGGCTAGAGTTGCTTGGATCACAGATGAGGCTTTAGTCTTTTGACACGTACTTTGACTGAATGATTGTTCTAAGGTGGTTCACTCCAGAGTTTAGAGATTTGTGCTTTATTGTTGTCAGCACTGGTGGTGCTTGACTTCAGGGCCAGGGTGCTGCCCTTGAGTCTTTTCACTTAAGACTAGCTTCTCTTCTGGCTTTTTGGTAGTTAATTAGAGATAAAAGTTTAATAGAGGGCTGGGAAGGTGGCTCAGTGGTAGAGCACTTGCCTTGCATGCATGAGGCCCTGGGTTCGATTCCTCAGCACCACATAAGCAGGGGGGAAAAAAAGCTGGTAGTGGTGCTGTGGCTCAAGTGTTAGAGTACTAGCCTTTAGCTCAAGAGCTGAGGGACAGCGCCCAGGCCCAGAGTTCAGGCCCACGACCAGACCCCCCCCCCAAAAAAAAAAAAAAGGTCTAATAGTCCCTTCCAAGGCTGGTTTCAAACAGTGATTCGGAGATCTCAGTTCTCAGGCCTCCCAAGTAGCTAGGATTACAGGTGTGAGCCAGTGGTACCTGGCTTATGTTGACTTTTTTGAGTAAGTCTCAGGTCCCTCAGAATAGCCTCAGGCCTTTTCACAATATGACCATGCCTAGTGGGCATGCAACAATGGGGAATCTATATTTGTACCTCATGAACCATTTTTCCATTTGCCAATGGCAAAGCCCAGTCCTTCCTTCCTTCTTCCTCTCGTTCTCCTCTATTGTCAATTTATTGGAGGTAAGAGTCTCATGGACTTTCCTGCCTGGGCTGGCTTTGAACTGCAGTCCTCAGATCTCAACCTCATGAGAGTAGCTGAGATTACAGGTGTGAGCCACTGGAGCCTGGCTCTTAGCTTTTTATGCTCAAGTCCGGCACTCTACCACCCAAGCCAAATCTACACATGCAGCATTTTTTGGGGGGGGGGGTCGGTCTTAGGGCCTGAACCACTGGCCTGGGTGCTGTCCTTCAGCTCTTCAGCTCAAGGCTAGCGCTCTACCACTTGAGCCACAGCGCCACTTGCGGGTTTTTTCTTTTTGCTTATGTGGTGCTGAGGAATTGAACCCAGGGTCTCAGTCATGCAAGGCAAGCGCTCTACCACTGAGCCATCTTCCCAGCCCTACGTGCAGCATTTTTCTGGGTAATTGGAAATAACTTTTTTATTTTATTTTTTTTTGCCAGTCATGGGTCCTGAACTCTGGGTCTGGGCGCTGTCCCTCAGCTCTTCAGCTCAAGGCTAGCGCTCTACCACTTGAGCTACAGTGCCACTTCTGGCTTTTTCTGCTTATGTGGTGCTGAGGAATCGAACCCAGGGCCTCATGCATGTAAGGCAAGCACTCTAACACTGAGCCACCTTCTCAGCCCCGGAAATAACTTTTTGGATATGTCTGCCTGGGCTGGCTTTGAACCAAAATCCTCAGATCTCAGCCTCCTGCATAGCTAGGATGACAGGTGTGAGCTGCCTGAGCATGGCTATAATAGTAATTTTATTAATAAAATGTTCTAGCTGGACCCTGGTGGCTCACACCTATAATCCTAGCTACTCAGGAGGCTGAGATCTTAGGATTGCAGTTCTAAGCCTGCCCAGACAGGAAGGTCCGTGAGACTCTCCAGTTAACCACCAGAAAACCAGAAGTGGCACTGTGGCTCAAGTGCTAGAACACTAGTCTTGAGCTGAAGAGATCAGAGACAGTGCACAGGCCCAGAGTTCAAGTCCCATGGCTGACAAAAACAAATACTCCTATTTAGTTTAAATGATATACATATTTGAATTTTTAATTATTTTTAAATATTTTTTACCTTTTATAAAGGTGATGTACAGAGCAGAGAGTTTATGGTTACAAAAGTCACTCCTTCCCTTGCACTCTCCCAGTTAAATTATATTTTTAGCTAATATAATTGTTGCTAAGTCAGTAGATAATCATGTTATTAATCCCTAATTAAGTTGTGTGTTGTATTATTATCATGATGTATATTGTATGTTTTCAGCCAAATATTTATTGCCCTGTTGAAGTGTGAAGGACTATTCTACAGAAAAGCTTTTTCTTTTCAGTTCTCCTTTTTGTGTTTCCTAGCTCATGCACAGAAAAATTTGAGTGGGAAAGTGAACATCGAGTATCCCCAGATCTTATGAGTCCACGTCACTAACATTTCTCCCAGATTCCACAGAGATCTGGCTCCGAGAGCACCAAAATATGAGTATGTCTCTGGTGAGTCGTTTTTCATTTTGTTTTGTACTGTATTTTAAGTGTTTTATGAGGTCTATAACTTAAAATGAAAATGTAGAAATAGCCAGGTACCAGTGGTTCATGCCTGTAATCCTAGCAACTGAAGTTGGAGGAGGATCACAATTCAAAGCCAGCCCAGACAGGAAGTCTGTGAGACCTTTTTTTAATTTTTGTCATCATGGGGCTTGAATTCTGGGCCTGGGCGCTGTCCCTCAGCTCTTCAGCTCAAGGCTAGTGCTCTACCACTTGAGCCACAGCACCACTTCCAGTTTTCTGGCTATTTATTGGAGATAAGTCTCATGGATTTTCCTGCCCAGGCTGGCTTTGAACCGAGGTCCTCAGATCTCAGCCTCCTGAGTAGCTAAGATTACAGGCATGAGCTACCAGCACCAGTGAACATTGTGTTTTTTGGCAAAACTACAACTTTTTTGGAGTATAATGCACTCAAGTGTCTTATTGCAGTTCTAAGATTTCAGATCTTTTTTTATTTTTTTTTTATTTTTGAGGGGGGGGGTCAGTGGTGGGGCTTGAACTCAGGGCATCTTTGTGCTCAAGGCTAGCACTCTTCCACTTGAAAACTCAGCTCTGACCCAGGCCTCCAGCCCCTTTTGTTTTGTGCATGTGCTAGTTATTTTGAGGTAGGGTCTTATTGTCTGCCCAGGTAGACAACTATTTTAGGATCTGTTATAGCTGGGGTGCTAAGTGGTTGAGAAAAGAGGCTCCTTGAGCTCAGGGCAGTTAGCACAGCAGTTAGCCATCTCTGGCTCTTCTGGTTTCTGTCTCTAGCCTCAGCTAGTCTCTACTGTCACCAGGCTTCCTACTACCGCTATCCCTTGTTGTCTCTGTCACCATCTCTCCCCCCTCTTTCTTGGCCTGGCCCTCTCTAGCATTCGTTAGCTGCTCTCTCATTGCTACCTTCACTGCAATTATCTACTGCAACTTTCATGGTCTTTTCTTTTTTCCGTTTGTTGGTCATAGGACTTGAACTCAGGGCCTAGTTGCTGTCCTTGGGCTCTTTTGCTCAAGCCTAGCATTCTACCATTTTAAGCCACAGCTCCATGTCTGGTTTTCTGGTTGTTAATTGGAAATAAGAGTCTCATTGACTTTCCTGCTGGCTTTAAACCATGATCCTCACTCAGACTCCTGAATAGTTAGTATTACGGGTGTGAGCCATCAGTGACCACTTGACCAGTCCTTCCTCTGTTTCACTAACTCAGCCTCCTCTACAGATAAACAACTTAGGAAAGATTAGCTGGGCGCCAATGGCTCAGGCCTGTAATCCTAGCTGCTCAGGAGGCTGAGATCTGAGGGTCACAGTGAAAGTCGCTATCAGCCTTGAGCTGAAGAGCTCAGGATCAGGACCCAGGCTCAGCCCCATGACCAAAAAAAAAAAGAAACAAAGATTTATTCTAGTCATGGGTTCAGAGGTCTTAGTCTATTATTGCAGAAAGGAAGTGACAGAGAAGTAGCAGTTTACTGTTTTGATCTGAAGCCAGCTCAGGCAGACAAATATGAGAGCCTTATCTCCAACTAACCAGTAAAAAACTGGAAGTGGAGAGAAGCTCTAATGGTAGAAAACAGCCTTGAGAAAAAAGCTGAGACACAACCCTGAGTTCAAGCTGTAGTACTTGTGTACATGTTCATGCACGTGTGAGCACACACACACACACACACACACACACACAAAGAACTGAGTATTCTGTGATTTTCTTTTCTCCTGTTAATGTGGAGTAAAGAACCGGCTCCTGTGTAAGACGTACACACATACCAGTGTACTCCCAGGTTGTTCTTGTGACCAAATGTGGTGACTTGGGTTGAGGAGAAATGCGCCATTACAGGAGTTGGTGTCATTTGAGGACGTGTCTGTGGACTTCAGCTGGGAAGAGTGGCAGGACCTGAGCAGTGCTCAGCGGACCTTGTACAGGGACGTGATGCTGGAGACCTACAGTAGCCTGGCGTCCTTGGGTGAGTAAAATTGCCAGTAACTCCCAGAAGCAGCATTTTCTTTGTTGGTGAACCAGCTTACCATTTGTAATGGTAAGTGCTTTTTTGGTGTAGAATTCCAGACAATGGAATGTGTCACCCTCTCTAACAAAAGGTTCAAATGACCCCTGCACTAAATAGTTCCTCAAGGTGAGTTGTTAGCATTTGTCACAAGATTAGAATTAATAGTTTGGCAAAACCCTATATTATATCTCATTTACAGGGCATTTCATGACCAAACCTGCAGTGATTTTCAAATTGGAGCAAGGAGCGGAGCCATGGATGGTTAAGGGACCTCCAAACCAGAGCTGCTCAGGTCAGTCTGCTCCCTGCCCAGGCAGGAGCCAGGGACCAGGAAAGCTGAGCAGATGTTGCTACCCCTGATCTGTAAAGGTCCATTTGTATAGTATCCACTGAGGGCTCTTGCCGCGGACCGGGTTCTGTCGGGACGACGGAGGATACCTAGGGGAGGAACCTGGAATAGGATGGGGAGATGGCAAACAGACAACTCACACACATTAGGAGTGGATGCTGAGTGCTGAGTGCGATTTAATGCAGAGGATAACAAACTTTTATAGCAAAAAGTCTCCATAAGAAAGGGCAAAAGGTTACATAATCTTGCTGCATGGCTTCATTCTTGGGCGGTCACCAGCTGATCACCTGAAAGGGCAAAAGGTTACACAACCTTGCTGCGGGGTTTCTTTTTTGGTTGTTCACAGCTGGTCGCCTGATAGGCACTTGTTTCCGGCTTATCTCTAAGAAATATAATGGGTTTTGATGTTTGTCACCAACTAACCATTACCTTATTTCTATAGAGGCCTTAACCGTCCCATAAGATCTTTTCTGTTCCTTCTTTAATAGTAAACATCAAGGAGACTTAGATCTAGCAAGTCTCTTAGTAAATGAAAGAGTAATAGGAAGTTTTTTCTCCAGTAGTTATCTCAGCAATTGCCATACATTCTTTCTGTTCTAGCCGCGCCTACAGCTTTTTGTAAATCTCTTACAAACAATTCCTTCTGCTGAAGTGACTTTGTGAAACCCCCAATACTTTTATATTTGCTTATGGCTTGTCTACTAGCCTCCATAAGAGGGGTTTCAGGGTAGCACTTAACTCCGGTGAGTTAGTCATATTTTTAAGACACTCATCAGATATTGGAGTCGTCAACATTCTTAAGAAAGAGCTTTAAATAAGGGAAACGTTGACAATGAGCAAGTACAAAGAGCAGTAGAAACAGTAAAAGATTAGTAGGCACTCTTATGAGGAAAAGAAAGGCAGAAACACATCTTTGCCAGCCTTTTCCCAGGAGTAGGCCTCTTAGAAGCCCTATTCTCCGAGGTAGACTTCGGTGAAGTCCCAAACCTCAGAGATAGGTCTCTGAAGCCCCTGTCATGGTCTGATAGATGGTTTCCCATGCTACGCAGACTCTACTGGGGTCGGCGTGGCAGGCTCTTGACTCATATATCTCCACCTTTTATTTTGCTTAACATTTTGTTATATTTATCCCAATATTTAATATCTATCCCTACCTTCTACCTTAGATGGTTTTCTTTGCTATACACTTTTTTGTTGCTCTCATTTTCTACATTTGCATATGCCAATTTTTTAGACATCTATAGACCTGATTTATTTAGCCAGTCCTGGGGCTTGAACTCAGGGCCTGGGTACTGTTCCTGAGCTTCATTTGCTCAAGGCTAGCACTTGAACACTTGAGCCACAGCACCATTTCTGGCTTTTTCTGTTTACATGGTTTTTCTGTTTACTGAGGAATCAAACCCAGGGCTTCATGCATGCTAGGTAAGCACTCTATCTACCACTAAGCCACATTATAGATGTATTTACAACAGCAATGATCAAAATAATGTCCTTTTTTATGGAGTTTACATTCTGATGAGTATATAAACTAGATTTCCCATGCCTGTGACAAGATAACCTAAAAAAAAAATAACTTAAAGATTCCAGTCATGGCAGAAAGGAGGTGGCCGAGAAGAAGCAGTTTACCTTGGGACAGCCAGGAAGCAGAAAGAAAAAGGAGGCTTGCACTAGCTGCCATTCCCCATCCTTTCATTTCATCCAGGCCTTACCTTTAGTGCCACTAACATTCAGGCAAGCCTTCTTTCTGGAAATGCCCTTAGACACCGAGGGTTTTCTCTCAAATCAAGTTGACAGTCAAAATTAACCATCACAAGTGGTTGGGTTAGAACTGAAATCAGCATTTGTAATTAGTGGGAAAAAAATGAGAAGTGATAATTTAGGAAGGATGATCAGACAAGACAGTTTTAGGGGGATTATTATTTACTTTGGCCTAGCTGTATTTGATCTAATATAGATCACTGGTAAATAGCCTTTGCAGGAGTCAAGAGGTCATGGGTTTACTGTCAGTGATACAAATTTGTTATTTAGAGTCGTATTTGTAGAGGAGGTCATCTGCAGTTGATAAGGAGATGAGAGAAGTCCAAGAGTGAAATCTGTACGCCACAACATTATAAATCATGAGGAGGATCCAGGATAGGAGCATGGAAAGAGGTTTCAAACATGGGGGAAAACCAGAATAATCTGGGTCATTAGCCACAGGAACCAATTTTTTTTTGTCGGTCATGGGGCTTGAACTCTGGGCCTGGGTACTGGCCCTGCACTCTTCAGCTCAAGGCAAGTGCTCTACCTCTTGAGCCACAGCGCCATTTCCGGGTTTCTAGTGGCTTTTATTGGAGATCAGAGTCTCATGAACTTTGCTATCTAAGCTGGCTTTGAACTAAAAGTAAAAAAACTAAACAAGCTTGAAAAATGCATGTAATTTATTATGTTATAATGTAATTACATTTATAATTATTGTGTAATTATTTTGTTATAAAGTCAATAAGAAGAGTCCTATCAGGCTAGGAATATGGCTTAGTGATAGACTGCATGCATAAAGCCCTGGGTTTGATTCCTCTACCACATAAACAAAAAAGCCAGAAATGGTACTGTAGCTTGAACAAAAGAAGCTCAGGAGCAGTGCCCAGGCCCTCTGTTCAAGCCCAAGGACTGGCAAAAAATAAAAATAGAAAAGAAGAGCCATACAGTTCAATACTTGTGATTTTCAAAAAATCTTATGTCCCAATGGTAGGAAGAAACTTTACCTTTACATGAACATTCTGTTGAAATGCTTCATGGATTTGTTTTGTTTTTCTTTTCTTTCTCATTTCAGAGATCCAGAGATTTGAAGACCTAATAGAGAAAAACCAAGAAAGTCACAATAGACATTTGTGGCAAGTTCCTGGCAACACCAACATATCAAATGGGGAAAGAGCTAAAGGAGGAAAAACACTTAACTTAAGCTTAAAACAATTTTCAAATGTGCTTATAAATAATGGAAACTATTCAGGGAAGATCCCTAAGGAGTTTAACAACATACATGAAAACATGCTTCTCTCTAACATGCTCAAAGAGACCTGTACTGGAGGGAAATCTGAAGATTGTAGTATAACTGGGAAAGCTCTCACATACGGTGCACTTCTTAAGCAAAATCACAAGAGTCCCACTGGAGAAGAGCATTTTGAATGTAGTGGACAAGGGAAAAACTTCAACTCAGAGGTACTGTTATCATCACACCAGAGGGTTAATGTGGATATCTGTATGTACAGTGCCTATGAGTCAGCCATTGCTCAAGGAAATATGCAGGATGGGAAGAAAAACTTTGAATGTAAATTATGTGGGAAAGCTTTCTTTAAAATATCTAACCTTACTAAACATCAAAAAATGCACACAGGAAAAGAACCCTATAAATGTAATGAATGCAAGAAATCCTTCTACAGGAAATCAGTCCTCACAGTTCATCAGAGAACACATACAGGAGAGAAGCCCTATGCATGTAATGAATGTGAAAAATCCTTCTCTCAAAAGTCAAGCCTTATTACGCATCAAAAAATCCACACAGGGGATAGACCTTACCAATGCTATGAATGTGGAAAGTGCTTTTACCAAAAGTCAGCCCTTAGTACACATAGCAGAATTCATACAGGAGAGAAACCCTATGAATGTCAGGAATGTAAGAAAGCCTTCTGTCAGAAGTCAGGCCTCACTACACATCAGAGAATTCATACCAAAGAAAAACCCTATGAATGTAATGAGTGTGGGAAAACTTTTTGCATGAAGTCAAATCTCACAATGCATCTCAGAACCCACACAGGGGAAAAACCCTTTGTGTGTAAGGAATGTGGAAAAACGTTTTGCCAGAAGGCAAACCTCAGGCGGCACGAGAGCATTCACACAGGGGAGAAACCTTATGCATGTACAGAATGTGGGAAAGCTTTCTACCAGAAGTTAGAGCTCACTAAACATGTGAGAATTCACACTGGGGAGAAACCTTATGAATGTAATGAATGTGGAAAGTCCTTTTGTGTTAAATCAAACCTCAGCTCACATCAGAGAACTCACACTGGTGAAAAGCCACATGGATGTAAATACTGCAAGAGAACATTCTGCCATAAGTCAGATCTCACTATACATCAAAGAATTCACACAGGCGAGAAACCCTATGAGTGTAATGACTGTGGGAAAACATTTTGCCTGAAGTCAGCCCTCACTAAACATCATAGAACTCACACAGGGGAAAAGCCCTATGAATGTTTTAAGTGTGGACGAGCCTTTTGCCAGAAGTCACACCTCAGCAGGCATCAAAAAATTCATACAGGGAAAGGTCTGCATGGTAGGGCCAGGCGCTGGTGGCTCACACCTGTAATCCTAACTACTTAGGAGGCTGAGATCTGAGAACCACAGTTCAAAGCCAGCCTGGGCAGGAAAGTCCATGACTAATCTCAATCACCAAAAAGCTGGAAGTAGAGCTATGGCTCAAGTGATAGAATACATGTGCAAAAAAGCTCAAAGGGAAAGTGTCGAGGCCCCAAGCTTAATTAATACCCAGACTACTGGAAAAATGTTTTTCAAAAGCCATTCCCTCTTCATATATGTATATGCTTAGATTTTTTAGCCTTCTTGCAGGCATAACCATGTAACTGGGCTGTGTAGTACAATACAGACATGAGTGATGGCCAAGGAACAAAGTCTCCTGTCCTCTGAATTACTGGTTTACTGACAACATCAGGGTGGCCTTGGAGCTATGTCGGAGAAGGGCAGCGGTCAGGAGATCTAACCACTTAAATCCCCAAACGGTGCAGCTTTACCTGGGAAATAAATACTCTGTTGAGCCATTGTGTGATCTGTTTGGGTTGCCACATAATTCACTACAGTAAGTTGAATGTTGTAAAGAAGCCTCCAGGTTCTGTATATCAAAAAATTAACACGGGAGAAAAACCTACCTTGTATTTTTCTCCAAGTCAGTTTATTATTAGGTCGGTCCTGGGGCTTGAACTCTGGGCCTGGGCACTATCCCTCAGTTTGTCAGCTCAAGGCTAGCATTCTACCACAGTGCTACTTCCAGTTTTCTGAGTGGTTCACTGGAGATAAGAGTCTCAGACTTTTCTGCCCAGACTGTCTTTGAGCAGAGATCCTCAGATCTCAGCCTCCTGAATAGCCAGGATTACAGGTGTGAGTCACTGGTGCCCTGCTCCTCAGGTCAGTTGATGGAAAAACCAAAAACCCCAAGGGAGTACATTGTCAAAAATTGAGAGTTATTTTTCAGGAAAGGATATCTCAACACAGAATGTGTTAAAGCTTCCAACTTCACATATTAGAATTTGTAAAATGGGCCAGTTACCATTTTCACATCCCTGTAATCCCAGCTCCTCAGACTGAGATCTAAGGATGTAGGTTCAAAGTCAGCCTGGGCAATAAAACTCCACGAGACACCTCCAAATAGACACAAAAAGCTGTGGCACAAGTGGTAGAACACTAATCTTCAGCAAAAGAGCTCAGGGATGTGTATCACCTTTAGAGTAACCACTCTATAAGCAAGATTTAGAAGCAAAAATGATGTCACCCCGCCCCGCCCCCCCCCCCCAGAAAAAAGCTCAGAGATGGTGTCCAAACCCACAGTTCACGCCCTATTACTGACAAAAAAGGAGAGCAGGGCTAGGAATGTGGCTTAGTAGAATACTGCTTGCCTAGTGAATCCATGGGTTCTACTCAGTAACACTGGATCAAGTGGTAGAATGCAGGCCTTGAGCAAAAGCAGTTCAGGGACAGTGCCCATGCCCTGAGTTCAAGTTCCAGGACTGGCAAATAAGTCCCTAAAACCAAATCTCCAAAATAACTAGCAACAAAGGCAGGGCTAGAGGTGTGGCTCCAGTAGTAGAATAAGTGAGCCGAGGAAGTGCTAGGCCTTGAGTTCAAGCTATGGTACAATAATTGGAAAAAGGAAACTGGTGCCTGGTTAGCAAGCACAGAACCTTGATAATGTAAACAAGTGCACGTTGGAAGGAGATGCAAATTATGAGTCTGGATGTCAATTTTCAAATAGGTTCAATATTAAAAGTTAAAATTAAGGAAATGTGGCTTAGTGGTTGAATGCTTGGCAAGCATGCACAAAGCCCTGGGTTCAATTTCTTAACACCATATAAACAAAAAAAATGGAAGTGACCACTGTGGCAGTGGAAGAGCGTAAGACTGCTAGCCTTGAACAAAAGAAGGCCCAGGCTCTGAGTTCAAACCCCAGGACTGGCAAGAATTTATATATGAATATATATATATATATATATATATATATAGTATACCAGTAAATGCCATGATAGACATTTGTCTTTAGGCATGTCTCTGGGTTATTATAACTACCACTACCTAGCAAGGGGTAGAAGTCAGGTACGTTGCTGGGAGATTATTAATCTGCTAAGTGGTATTCTCTTGCTTTAATCTTTGGCAAATCAACTGTATCTAGACATTTTTCTTACATATTTTCCAGCTTAAACACATATTCAAGGATTTCTTATGTAACAATGAAGTTCTCTTCTATATAACAAGCTAAAATCAAAAGTATTCTCTCATGATCCTTTGGATGTCTTTGTGATATCCTAATTATCTCTAATTTTATTAAGTTCTTGGTCTCTTTTTGGTAAAATTAGGGGTTTATCCATCTTATTTTTCCAAAGAGCCAACATTTTTGTTGTTGTTGTTGTTGGTCGTGGGGCTTGAACTCTGGGCCTGGGCACTGTCCTGCGCTCTTCAGCTCAAGGGGAGTGCTCTACAGCTTGAGTCACAGCACCACTTCTGGTTTTCTAGGTTTATTGGAGTTAAGAGTCTCATGGACTTTCCTGCCCAGCTGGCTTTGAACCGTGATCCTCAGATCTCAGCCTCCTGAGTAGCTAGGATTACAGGCACAAGTCACCAGTGCCCAGCTCTACTCATTTTATGAAAGCAATTTCTTTTTCTTTTTTGTCAGTAGTAGGGCTTGAACTCTGGGCCTGAGCACTGTCCCTCAGCTCTTCAGGTCTAGGCTAATGCTCAACCACCTGAGCCACAGCACCACTGACTGACTGATTTTAGTTTGAAGTCTATATGTAGGAAGGCTACTACTGCCTGCTTTCAGGGGTCATTTGCTCAGATCTTTTTTGTCTTTGAACCCAAAAAGCCTATATTTTTCTTTCAGTAAGATGTGTTTCTTGTTGGCAACAATTTCCCCCCAAAGTTATAGAGCATCCAATATGTACTAAACCTATACTACAGGTAGGTAGGTAAGGAGACCCTGAACAACAGTGTTGAGTGTAGTGTTGTAAAGCAATGGAGTAGGTATGCCAGCAAGGGCAGAGAGTAGAAACCTGATTGGTGGGCATGCAACAGTTTATTGTAAAATTCCATCTGCTCTTGCTGAATCATAAAAATCTTGAGAATGCCAAGGAGCACATCCTCCTCAGACTTGGGTTAATCATAGAGAAAACCTTCAATTTCCTCCTCTTTGATGAGTAGTGTTAGGGTGTGTGTGTGTGTGTGTGTGTGCACATGCACATGTGTGCACATGCACATGTGTGCACGTGCACATGTGTGCACGTGCACCAGTACTGGGGCTTGAACTCAGGGCCTCATGCTCTTTCTTTTCTGTATCACTTAGTACACACCTCCACTTTTTTTTTTTTCTAGATAATTGGAGATTGAGTCATGGACTTCTCTGCCTGGGCTGGCTTCAAACAGAGGCTAAAGATCTCAGAAGCTCAGCCCCCTGAGTATCTAGGATTACAGGCATGACCTACCAGTACCTGGCTCTGAACTTACATGATTTAAATGAGTTTCGCCTTCTCCCCTTTCCAGGGGTAAGATGTAGATCCAGCATTCAACATATTCTAAGTCAGAAACTAGTAGATGGAGGGGCGGGGAAGGTGGCTTAGTGGTAGAGTGCTTGCCTGGTGTGCACGAAGCCTTGGGTTTGATTCCTCAGTACCACACACAGGTCCTTTTTACCACCGAAGAGAGAGACCGTGTCCAGGAAGTGGCCCGGAAACATATCCCTGGCCCCACAGGTGCGCCCATCACGGATCCTGCCCTGATCGCTGCCTATTTTCCTGAGATCTGACCAACACAGGACTACAATACGGTTGAAGGTAGGGAGCGACTCCTCGTCTACCGCCAGTCTCTGTTGGCAGGTCTCAAAGCGGTGGTTCGCCGACCTACTAATATGGCCAAAGTTTATGATGTTAGACAGGGAGGAAGTGAAAGTCCGGCAGCATATCTTAAGTGGCTCATGGAAGCTTTTAGTCAATATACCACATATGATCTTGAGATCCAGGAGTTGGCTCAGATGATTATGTTTGCCTATATAAATCAAGCTGCACCAGACATAAAGCGAAAGTTGTTGGCTCGAGACAGACTGGTGGAAAGTCTATTAGAGATCTAGCAGCCGCGGCGGAAAAGGTTTACAATAAGAGAGAGACAGAGGAGCAAAGACAGGAAAGGAAGGACAGAGAATGTGAAATTGAGCGTGAAAACAGAGACCAGGCCAAGGAAAAGAGGCCAGACTTGTTGGACTCACCACTATCGCATGCCGAGCATACCTGGTTCACAGATGGCAGTAGTTTCATTCGAGATGGAAAAAGATACTCGGGCGCAGCAGTCACCACCGACACTGAGATAGTGTGGGCAGAAGCACTCCCCCAGGGAACGTCTGCACAAAGAGCAGAGCTAGTGGCACTAACAACAGCCCTACAAATGGGCAAAGGGAAGAGACTAAACATTTACATGGACAGTCGGTATGCTGTTGCCACCGTGCATGTCCATGGAGCCATTTACCAAGAGAGGGGGGCTGCTGACAGCTGAGGGAAAGACTATTAAAAAACAAGAAATTTTAAGACTCATCCGGCCCTCTCTCCCTCTCTCTCTCCCTCTCCCTCTCCTCTGTCTCTGTCTCTCCCCTCCCTCTCTCTCTTTCAGGGCATGAACCCTGAGCCTGGAGTCAGCCCCAGGCCCTCCAGCGCTCCACCATGGGAGCCATGGTGCCACTTCTGGTCTTGCAGGGTTGGTTGGCTCCTTGGCTCCCACCACCATCTATCTTCAGACATGTCAGTCAGCCAGTGCCTGGGGCTCACCCTGTCACCCTGGCTACTCAGGAGGCTGAGATCTGAGGACCGTGGTTTGAAGCCAGCCCCGGTAGGAAAGTCCGGGAGGCTCTGATCTCCAATGAACCACAGAACACCGGAAGTGGTGGTGCTGCTCGTGAGGTGGGGCGCTCACCTTGAGCTGGAGAGCCAGGGACAGTGCTCAGGCTTGGGTTCAAGGCCCATGACTGACAAAAACAATAACAAAGAAAGACATTTCAGTCAATGAGTTTAGATTGTCTGTGTTGGAAATATTTCCTGGAAGACAGTTGTTTTTTCAGTCTCTGGTTTATAGCAATGCTA